ATGCTGCTCATTTTAAAAAGCTCTGTAAAGTTTAAATCTTTGAAAGCTATTTATGATAATAAATACAGGTTAATAGTCATCTAGAACTATCAAACTTAGTCATGTTAGGCAAGTTTTCAAAGTCATGCAGATATATTTTGGATAGATAGATGATTTTCAAACACTTCAAAGACCTAGAGAATATGGCATTTAAAGTGTTTAAATGTAAAATGTTTAAAAACAAAAAGGTTTTCACGACAATTTTAAGAACATAAGGCTTTTCAAGACAATGAGACACGTCTGCTCCTGGCAGCACCAACTTACTTCAAAAAAGGATGATGGGCACTGAAGAACTTCCATATGGAGTCTGCTTTCTTTGTGGTGAAAGCTAGCCATTTGGGCAAGAAATTGCACTTGCCAAGACAGGGTAGGACAGTCCTACAAAAATTCCTGCTTCGCAGAAAAATCTGTCAGATATCCTATGTCTGTAGGCTGAACATAGATGCCCCAGAATAGCAAAGGAACCTTGGATGACTATCTATACAACCAGCTGTTTCTGTTGCTTTTTATGTTTTGGAAGTTGCTTGCTCTGTACTTCCTGTTTACTAAGGTAATATTATATACTTCTGGGATTTTGATGGAGCTGAAGACTACATAGTCATATTTATAGTTTTTCTTAGTTTTGAAAGAAGATAAATTAGGTACAGAACTTTGAACTCGCCAAGATTAAGACAAATAATAATGTATTTTCTCCAAAATTGCCAAAAACAAATATATTGAACATTGTGAATGTAATTCTTACCCGATAACTATTCTCATTGTATATAGTTTTACTGTGTTAATAGTTAAAAACCTTTCCTTTTTATCTAGACAAAAAAGGGGGAAATGTTGGGGAATAATCTTTTTGTACATTGTGAAAAAGTGTCACTCTGGTTGGTTTATTAAAAAGCTGAACAGCCAATAGCTAGGGCAGGATTTCCAGACACAGAGGATACTAGGAAGAAGGGAGGAATCACCAACTAGACACAGAGAAAGCAGGAAAGCAAAGTGGGCCCTACTGTAAGTGAAGGTAATAAAGCCACAAGGCAGAAAGTAAATGAATAGAAATGGGTTAAGTTTTAAGAACTAGTTAGAAACAAGTCTAACCTTTCAGCCAAGTGTTCATAATTAACAATAAGTCTCCAAGTGGTTATTTGGGAGCTGGCAGGTGGGACACCAATGCTTACCACCTTCATCAGAATAACTGTCTCCAAAGTAACATATCCATCTAGCCCTCACTCAACTGCCATCTCTTACATATAGCCCTTTCACCTAATTTAGAAAAACATAATTCACTAGCCTTTGCTCACCTGTTCCTGAATAAAACACATTTCCCCAAAATACCTTAACACAGTGGTTCTCAATCTTCCTAACGCTGTGTCCCTCTAATGCAGTTTCCCATGTTGTAGTGACCCCAACCACAGAATTATTTTACTTGCTACTTCATGATTGTAATTTTGCTTCTGTTATGAATGTAAACATCTGTTTTTTCCGATGGTCTTAGGGTACCCCTGTGGAAGGGTCATTCAATCCCAAAAGATGTCACAACCCACTGCCCTCATGGTATGCAGTCTCACTTCCTTAAGGATTTTGCTTCTCAGTGAAGTCTTCTTGATGATCCAATCCAAAACTGAAGCCCTCTACACTTCATGTCCTCTGATTCCCCCCCCCCCTTTAGTTTTCATAATACTGTTTAGCTCACCTCACTGGAACATACAATCTGGGGGCGGGGGGAGAATCTCAGTGCATGTTTACTGTTGTTTCTCCAGCAACTAAACCAGTGCTAACACATAGCAAGCACTCAGTATACTCACTGCATTACAGCACAACACTGCCAGGTGACAAGGATAATATGGTAGTCTACAGAAAAGCAAACAAGTCCAACTTCATCTGACAACTCAAAGAAGAAGAGGTAGTTAAGCACAAGCACAGGCTCGGTAATGAAGGATTAAAAGGAGGTCATTTTGCTAGATCAGAAAGAGTAGAACATGTGTTTAGAAGCAAGAAGAGGCAACATGATGAAGAGATTCACAGATCCTGTAGTGATGGTTTTCAAAACCACTGAGGTGGTTTGACAGGAGTCATGTGAGCACATTTTCAATGTTGCTTGCCATGAGATAGAGAACAGACCCCAGAGGTCAGAACAGAGTAGATGCTCACTGTGATCGCTTATCTGTATTGTCAATAGAATGGATTTAAAGTCACTCAGAAGACGATGTAGCACGTGTCCAGGAGTGCCTGTGAAGGTTTTCCAACAATGACCAAGTAAAAGACCCACCCACTCTGAATGAGGAGAGCACCATACCCTGGGCTGAGGGGCCTGCTGAGTGCCAGCACACCCCTCTGTCTAAGGCCTACAAGATAGCAACGGCTCTGGTCTACCATGCCTTCCCCACCAGGCAGACAGGACTCTTTCAAACCACAAAGCTCAAGTTGGCTCTGGTGGGTATCTGGGCACAGTGACTAGAAAAGTGGCCAGTATCTATACAGATCAAGTGAGAGGGCACTGCAGTAGCTCAACGGAGAAAAGATGGTTTCTTAGATAGGGGAGTTGACATTAGAAAAACTAGGTATTTATTAAGGTAGAACAAAATCAACAGAGCTGGGTACACTATAACCCAGCACTAAGGAGGTGGAAAAAGGGCAATCAGGTCTTATACCTTCAGCTATATATACTGAGTTCAAGGCTAGTCCGGGCTACCTAATACCTTGTTTCGAAAAGGGTGGGGGAGTGGAAATCAAAGGGATTGTGCTGAAGAAAAATATTGTGTGTGAAGAAATAAAGTTAAGGGAAACTTGAAGGTTCACAAAGTATTGTTCAGTGTCCAAAGGTAAATAATAAATCCTCTCAGAACAGAAGTCTAAATCTTCAGCTAACATCCTAGTGTACAGTGTACAGAACACCTGAATGGGAGCTACCCCAGCTAAAAACAAGCAGTAATCTAAAGGATCAGAAAACTTAGCACAAGGGAAAAGTATAAAATATCTGAATAAAAACCTTCTGCTGATTACAAGCAGAAATACTTTGGATATTGTAGGTTAAATAAAATCACCTATTGATTTTACCAATTCCTTTTTACTTTATAGTGTGGCTCCTACACAGTACACAGTTAAATAAATGACACTAGATTCCCATGGTCATCATGAGCCATGTCAAAGAGCAATTATAAATGGGTTTCAGTCAGAAGAAAAATTATTCTTAGAAGACTAAAAATTCTAGGGGAAAGGACAATTTTTGCCAAGAATAACAGAAATGAATATTCCAGAGGTTTTTATTTTGACCACTGAAATACAAAAACCATTGTCTGTCCATTATTTATAAAGTATACAGTTCTTCTTTGTTTACTATTAATCCGATAGCTCTGCTTCTGAAGCCTTCTGCAGTGTAGAGAAAGACAATCAAGAGGCTTGTGGAAAATGACAGCGGACAGAGAACATGCGGGCAGCTCTCCTGTCACTTGATAGGCAGCAAAGTTGAGATACTAACACATTACATAGCCTACCTAGGGAAAAACAATCACGATAACCTGTTTATACCTTAGATGTAATGCTTTATTAGTTATCAGAGTGCTTTAGGTCACTATAGATTTATATGTAACACAACAAGTACTTTGCATTATTCCCAAAAGAACCAATCATCAATTATCAAAATGGCTTTGTTTGGAGATCAAAAACATCAAGTTTATAGTCTTCTCACTAACAGCAAAAACTGTCTTCTCAGAACCTAAGCCTAGTGCCAACACCAAGCTATTATTATAGTTTAGCTATGACCTGAATGTGTCCCCAAAGGCACATGTGCTAAGGCCGAGTCTCCAGTGCAGGGAGACAGGAGAAGTAGTTAGAGGTGGAATCTTGTACAAAAGAGTCAGCGCAGGAGCACTCAAGGAGTGGGCTGGCACAAAGACCACCACCCTTGGCCGTTTCACACAGCCATTTCCTTTTCTACGTTACCGCCACATTGTGAGACAGCCTATGGGACTTTCACTTAAGGTCCTAAACTACCAGCCTCTAAAACTTTTATCTAAATAGACCTCTTATTATATAAAGTACCCAGCACCAGGCATTTTGCTGTAGCAATACAAAACAGACTAAGACAGTTGTATTTAAAAAATAACTTCACTATTCCCTCATCAATAAAGCAAAAAAAAAAAAAACTATACATAGGCCTTAAGATGATAAACTATTCTGGACATGGTGATGCACACCTTTAATCCCAGCACTCAGAAGGGAGAGGCAGGGGGATCTCTGTGAGTTTGAGGACAGCCCGGTCTACAGAGCAAGTTTTAGCACAGCTAGGGCTACACAGAGTTACTCTGCCTCAAAAAACCCAAAAGAGAAACTATAAACACACTCGAACACACACACACACACACACAAACACACGTGTTTACAGTGAGTGGGCAGATATGTACCATTAGTCCCTTTTCTTTTACTAGGGGGAATATGTTTCTTGGTCTTCCTCTACAGTGTCAACCCAGCGCTACCCAGCCTGGTCACCTAAGTTCATGCTCCACATGAAGGTGGAAAGAGAAAACTGATTTCACTAAAGTTATTCTCTGACTTCTGCAATGCCTCCACGCCACTTACATCATGTGAGCACACAGAGTAATTTTTAAAAATTAAATAAGCTAAAATAACATAATCACATATAAAATTAAGGTAGAAGGTAAAATTACTAAGTTATGTGCAATTTTCACCTTCCTATTAAAAAGCCTCAATCCTCTGAGTAAATCATTTAACTTCTATAAGTCTATTACTTCAGTAACAATATCAAATCAGTTGATTCAAACATCCCACTTATGATTAAAAAGTGTACTATGAGTGCCGTATGAGTCTCCAAGGACTGAATAAAACATAGGTAAGTTATAAGCTTTTGACTTCTAATGATTAATATGAAATATGTTTTGAATTTCTTAAACATCTTAAGATAATATGGCTAATCGTTCTCTATATTTACAAGGAATATTCTTAGAACTACTTACATCTGGCTGAATAGCTTTAAACACTGGTACATCCATTAGTGTTATCTGACCCTGAAAGACAAAGGGGGTTTTATTTCGTTCTGAATGCCAAGTTCTTTGGAATCCTATGATACGAAATTTATTCAAAATAAAATAAATAAAATTTCTACTCCATACTAAATTACAGAATATACAGTCTTTAAATACTTACAGGAAATAGAAACCGTAGTCTTTGTGCCATTACACATAATTTTTCCTAGTTGTCTCATTCCTAGGGAGGCCAGTAAGGAGAACATTTGGGCACTGTCATCCATCGATGGATGAGCAGTTCTCTTAGCACCAAGCTGATGGCCTAAATTCAGGATGTTCAATCCCTCGTCTCCACATGCCAGAGGCAAAGAACAAGCTCTCAAGTTTCCCTCTGACTACACATGTACCATGGTGTATGTGCCCCCTTCTCATACAAATAAACAAATGCATGTTAAAAAAACAAAACAAAACAAAAAAACTTAAGAGAAGCAGTCAGGAGAGGTAAACACTCACTACAAATAACAACACCGTTCCTGGAGTGCAGAGGGGTTCAAGACCAAAAAAGTAGTTTATTTACTTAACAAAAGGTAACGAAAAACATAAATAAACGAACATTTATGTTAGCCAAAAAGATTTTCTAGATAATTCATGATAGTCTTATGATTGAGAAATCACATTTTCCAATTTTTAAATTTACAAAACAGCAAAAAATACTTTTGAACATACTAAGGTGGTTTGAGTCAGCAAAGGCAGAGATAGGTACGTGTCCATTCTTTACCAAACAGAGGAATGAAGGACAAGGAACTGCCCTTTAAGAAGGAAGCTGCCCCCCCACCTCATCCTTCTCTTGTCCATACTCATGGTGGTCTCCAGCTCTAACTCAGTCAGTTACACAAGTATATGAACTGCGTGCAAACGCTGGAAAGCTAGAGGCAGAAAGCTTACCGCGTATTCTTCCGGCGTAACCTTAAGAACATCAAATACCACAGCATCAAAGCTTTTCTTCAATTCAGAGCCCTTCTCACTTAGCGACTCAGAGCTGCTACTTTTCTGTCAAAGAAGAAAACACAGCCTTTAGACATTGTCTCAGCCAGTGTCACACAAAGAAGACAGTCCTCAAAATCTGAGGAACTCTGAGGCTGAGGGCATGGTCAGTTGGTAAAGTGTCTGTTATACAAACATGAGGACCTAACTTGGAGTCTAACTTGGAGTCTCCAACATCCATGTAAAATCTAGGCAAAGTGTACACTTCTATAACCCCAGTGCTGGGCGGTGTGCAGAGAAAAGAGGATCCATGGAATTTACTGGCCAGTCAGACCAGCTGACTCATAAGCTCTGGGTTCAGTGACAGCCGCTCTCAAAATCACACTAGAGAGTGAATGAAGATACCTATATGCAAGAGCTTATGTCTACATGCACATGTGAATGTGAACATTCATACACACACACACACACACACACACACACACACACACACACACACACACCAGAGCTAAGAACACCGTGTAATAAAAGATAGAGAAAAGGTGAGTAGAGCATGTTACTTAGTTGGAAGAATGCTATATAAAGAGCCAGAAAATTTGAAAGCAATGTGAATTTCCATTTCTTTTAGGTTTCTATGTAAGCTACACTTTTGTATTTTTCTTTGATAAACATTCTGACATTCCCTAGTTGCAGAAGAAGAAAAAGAAAAGAGAACACTGTGCATCTACAGTCATGCATCACCTAACAGTTCAGATACTACCAACATGTTGTTAAGCAACCCTGTCAATTATCACCACAGTCTACTCACACAATCCACAATGGCTACAACATGATCATGGCACCCATAAACAAAGTCGCTACTAATCAAAATGCCATTATGCAAGGCATGCCTGTATTTATAACTTTAAAAACTAGGAGAAATAGAAAATACTCTTGTAATACAAACTACAAGATAATATTCAGAACTTCACTTATTAAACAATTGTCTAAGTCATTCATACTTGTTAATATATGTTAATGGCTGATCGTGGATGTCAATTTGATACATCTAATAAAAGGGAACTTAATGAAAAAGTAGACCCCATCAGACTGCGTGCTATAGACATGTGTGGGAGGCATTTTCTTGACTGCTAATTGAGCCCAGACACTTGGGCAGATGGATCTGGGCTGCATAAGAAAGCTGGTAGAGAGAACTAGCCAGTAAGCAGCTTTCCTCCAAGGAATCTACTTTAGTTCCTGCCTTTAGTTTTCTTCCTTGACTTCCTGCACACTCAATCTGTGAACTGAAATAAACCCTTTCCTCCCCGAGTTGCTTTTGGTCATTGAAAGCCTTCCTTTTTGTTTAAACAGAAAAGAGGAAATGGTGTGGGAAGTCCTCTGTCTATGTGCTGATTTTACTGGTTCTGAATCAAGAAAACTGGCTTAGCCTATAGCATGGCAGGAAGAAGGAGGAGTTAGGAGAAGCCATGGATTCGCTGCCTAGGACAGATGCTGAGAATTTCAGCTGGTAAGCCACAGTCATGTGGTGATATACAAAATACTAGAGATGGGTTAGTTTAGGATATGAGTTTAGCCAGAAATACACTTAAGCTATTGGCCAAACAGTATTGCAAATAATATGGTATTCTGAGTGGTTATTTCGTGGCTGGGCAGCTGGGACAAACAAGTGACCCTTCCCCCAACAGTATTTATCACAACAACAGAAAGCAACTACAACAAACCTGGTTACAGAAGACAGGGGTTGTTGGGACTGACCTGACAGTGGTTTTTGGAAGATTCTGAAACTTTGAGCTGGAAAAGCCATTGAATGCTCTGAGCTTAAAGGCTGTTTTCTAAGATCTTAAAAGCCAAGAATGCTGAAAGAAAACACACGCTGTAGGAAGACCTGCAGCTTGTGATCAGCCTCCTGCTGGAGCATGGCCTCTTATACTGTATGTG